GCTATGCAGTTCAGGCTGACCTTGAGCTCACTTTGTAGCCCAGGCTGCTCTCAAACTTGCAAGGGTCCTCCTGCCTCAGCCTCCCCAGTGCTGGGATTACAGGCATGCACCACCATGCCCAGCCTTTAGTTTCAAAAGTTTTAAAATGGAAGGAAGGAAGGAAGGCAGGAAGGAAGGAAGGAAGAAAAATTGACCATGATTAGTTAGCAGTCAGTGACATCAGCCCTTGGGCCAAGAGGAACAGTTTACTGGGACAGCCTATCAGACCATCCTTGAAGGACGGACATCATTTGAGGGCAAGAAGGGAAAGAACAAAGGCCAAGTGCACCGAGCCCCTTTGGTTACTGAGTGATGAGCGCTGAGCTTCTTCCCTGTGCCAGGCTCCATCCTGGAGCCTTAACACACGTATCTCACCCCATCCCCTCAGCCGTTGGGAAGCGGCCACTACCCACATTCTGCTACCGAGGCTTAGGATGGTTGAATGACTTGACCAAAGTTTTACAACCGGGAAGAAGGAGGACTTAGATTCACACATTCTAAGTGTACCTTCGCTTCCTCCGACATCACGAGGAATCCAAATTCATAACCCTAACCTTGTGCTGCTGTGTGCACCTATAATCCTAGAGGAGGCTGAGGCAGGAGGATGGCTGGAGTCCAGGAATGTGATACCAGCCTGGACAATGTAGTAAGAATTTCTCCCAGAAAAAAAAAAAATCACAATCCTACAATGTTACACTGGAGGGGTGAGCCAGGGAGTGTGTGGTTAATGTAGCGTCACCATCAAAGGGAAGTGCTGGGGCCTTGCTCCAAGGGTTACGTGTATGGAAATTATATGACAATTATAAGTAATTGCTCTAAAGCATAGGGATTAGCCAAGGGTGATGCTGCATGCCTGTAATCCCAGCACTTGGGAAGCTGAGGCAGGAAGACTGCCATGAGTTCAAGGCCAGCCTGGGCTATATAAGTAATTCAAGGTTCAGGCTGTACTACATAGTGAGACCCTCCCTCAACAAACACCCTCCAACCCCCCCTAGAAAAAACAAACTATAAGGATTAAGAAAAAAAGAGAAAAAAACAGATTTTTTTGAGACAGAGTCTTGCTAAGTTGCAACTCCTGCACTCAAATAATCCTCCTGCCTCAGCCTCCTGAGAGCTGGTCTCCCAGTTGCCTGGTACCACTCCTGGCTACAGACCACCACTTCCGAGTGCCACTTTCCCTGTGGCTGCAGATAACGTGGAGGCTCACGGGGGATCTACCTCCAGAGAGCTCTCTAGGACTGTTGTAACTCTGAGACACCACAAGGCCTCAGCACAGCACCACATCTTCTGGAGAACAGATAAAAATATTTTTGCGCACCTTTATTTCATTTTTAATAGTAAGAAATTTTTTTTTCAGTACTGTGGATTGAACCCAGAGCCTTCACACTGAGCTATATCCCCAGCCCTTTTAATATTTTTATTTTGAGACATGGTTTCATTAAGTTTCCCAGGCTGGGATCCTCCCGCCTCAGCTTTCCAGAGTGCTGAGATTATGGATTGTGCCACTACAATTGGCTAAGATCTTTTAAAATTATGAATATTAATACAGTAGGAGTGTATCTATCACTCAGGTTTAACAAATATCGACAGTTATATTTTCTTCAGGGTGGGTTTTTTT